AAAAAAAAAAAAAAAAAAAAAAAAAAAAAAAAAAAAAAAAAAAAAAAAAAAAAAAAAAAAAAAAAAAAAATTAATAAGTATATTAATTAACATGAATAAAAATTATAGGCATATCTGTGAGCATAATATTATAAATTTTCTGAACATTTTATATAGAAATTCACCAGACTTGAAAACTACTTGATCTCAAATAAAATAAAATAAAAGACTTAAAATTATAGTAATATATTTTCTAGCAATTAGAATCCTTACAAAAAAATTACCATTATACCATTATTAAAACGCAATTTACACTTCCTAATATGATAAATGAGATAAAATGCCATGTACAGTATATAATGACTTGTATCGTCTATGAATCTTGAACTTATCAAAAATTATCTATATTATATGAGTAGTGCAAGTCAAATTTGCAGACTTAAAAATACGTATCAAAAATATATGCATTTCAAAAATAATATTGATAGAGTATTTATGATTATAATAATCTAAAGCGCATAAACTTATTAATCAAATAAAGTCATAAAATTACCTTTGCATAGTATTCAACATCAAACTTAAAAGATACTGAACCGAAATTAACTTCAACCTGTGCTGATTGTGTACATTTTTTCCGTAATTATTCTAGAACTGGCGATTCCTATTAGATCAATACATATTTAAACAATGATATAGAAAAAAATTCACATCTAGGAATAACATATCCACATAACCTAAATTAATTCCATTCTCTATATAAACACGGTGTCATCATAATAATTCAAACAGTATCCGATAGTGTCATCCAAACAGTTCAAAAGTCCATATGGATTTCCTCCGATGCCTATCTCAAGAAATACCAATCCATAATCACTGTGATACCCAATTGTTAAATGATCCCAGCCCACAACAAGAGACATTAGAGCAAGTCAAACTTAATGCTTTTTAGTTGCTTGCAAATACTTCTTATTTTTTGTACTATATAAAGTAAAATCAAAGTTATCAGAATATAAAATGAAAACCTGGTTGTATATTTAAATAACTAGATTTTCTACCGAATCCAATCCCAATTAAACCATAATAAACATTATAACATTATTAAAAGGTTCATTACTAAATTATTCCGACTTCTTTAGGAATTGTGTGATCTAATCTTATACTGCAGCCATTTCAGTTTCTTGAATTTTATCGAAGTTCAAAAAATTCAGCAAAATCCCTAACCAACAAACAGTCACCATAAATAAGCAATTATCTATATATTTAATCCTCAATTGCTTTCTCTCCACACTTACACCTTTCCCACGATCAGCAAAATTCCATTTGCAAGGCAATACTGTAATATAGGATTTCCGCCGTTTTGTATAAAAGATTTTTCGATAGGCATCGATTCATGCTTATTACCAGTACCGCTCATGACTTAATAGACAAATTTCAGACGATTGGCAGCTGTAATTTTCTTTTTACTTATGAGCTGGGATGCATGACCCGTGAACATTAATATATATAATGATTTCTTATACTGTATACTCTATACTGTAGTGATTAATGTTACTATGTGTGAAGGCTCCGATTACGTGATACGGCGATCGCGGATTTAGGAATCTCTAAAATCTCAAGAATATCAAGAATCTTAGGGATTCTTGTTATCCTGGTTATTTCAAGAATAATCATAATAGCGAGAATCCTAGAAATAGTATGAGTAATTGGAATAGATTATTGCAATTAAATATGTATATAAAGAATTTTAAAATGCCAACATAAAGTTAGACTTCTACAACAGAAAATATGAAAAGTTTTAGTAATAATTTCAAGTGGGAATGTTAATGCGTGTTAAAATTTATGTTAAAAAAACACAAGAAAAAAATACTAAGACCAAGTCAATTCCAAACCTCAAGCTTTACAAAATTGCTAGTAAAAATTAGGAGTCCCTAGCCCCTCATATGCAATTAGGATCAAAGACTAACTTCATAAAATAATTAAATTTCTACTTGTTTTGTTAAATAAATATACTGTATATATCCGTATAAGCACTATTGTTTTGTAATTCCACATTTAAAAAAAATTAGTAACGAAAATCATAAATTCGATAAACTTAACAAATTTACATGAGCTATCATCAATCATCATAAAATTAAATATTCAGTGATTGGTTTTTTTAAATACTTACTTAATTTGATATTTAATAAATATGTTTGATAATATTTTTGATCGACAAAATTTTTATAAATTTAAAATTTATGTAAGATTTGTATTTTTAGAAAAGATTTTAATATCGTGTGTTTTAATATACATACTGTACATACAGTATTTAAACACAATAGTATAATATTGATTATTTAACTTAAAATTAATATTAATTGCAACATAGTAATCAAATATACAATAATCAAATATTATGATATCACCATTTTTATTTATAAAATTTATATAAAATTTATTATTAATTTTTAAATATAAAAGCTATTTTTACTTAAAACATTTTTATTAAAATATTTTTTATTTATTCTTAAACTGATTTTGTTTTTATGCAATACTAATTGTTTGTTAAATGCTTTTAAAAAATAGATGAATAAAAAAAAATTATTTATTTATATTTAGCATCATTATTACAGCACTAATAAAATAAGTTTTTTAAAAAATAAAATTATACAAGATCTGAATAATATAATTTTTATTAACAATAATTTTTAAGTTTCAAATTAATAAAAATTGATTTAATAAAATAAGATTCGATATATTAAATATTTGACAACCAATATTAATTTTATTGTTATTAATATTTCAAAAAAAAAATTAATATATAAAGGAAAACATCGAATAAACCTTCGATACGATATAACAATGGATTGTAATTTAGTTTATATTAAATAATGTGAATTATAACTAAGGTTTATATGTTGTTTCCTAAATATTTTTAGTCTCCTTTCATTTAAGCCTTTTCTATTATATGCACGCAAAAAAACCCCACTTTAATATAAAACAAATGAATTTTAACCGTACGATGATTAAAGAGTATGTTAACTTGAACATTCTCGTCAACCAAAAAGTTTCCTGCAAAATTTAACGCAAATAATATGTAAGCATTAAATAAATTAAATAATAATAAAACGTAAAAAAATTAATTTTAAAAATACCTAAAAAGTCACAATAATTTGAGTTTATGTAGACTTGTGTCTGTAAAATAAAAATTTGTTAATAAAATTAGATAGAAATGTAAAAAATGTTATATTATCTATAGCATATTCACCTGTATAGTTATCCGACAACATTTCAAGTTCTTCCTCATAATCAGGGGCATTAATTGGTTGTGAGAAATTTGAAAAATTCAAAAGTCTACTAGTATAGATAGCATTTGGATGTGTTTTATAATTAAGTTCCAAGAGGTTATTATTTGACGACTTTCTTGATACTTCACTTTTGTAATCTTTAACCTGTTCCTTAAAATCCAAAGGTTCATCATCTTTAATTAGTTTATTAAATTCGGATAAAGTGTCGCATATTTTTCTGGCATCTGGTCGCTTCGATGGCCTCGCATCCCAACATTGCATTATTAATCTAACTAAAAATTTATTCGTCTTGAATGGAATTTTTGGACGTAAGCCTTGACAGATTTGTACAGCAAGATCTTGATCATGAGGAATATTATAGTATGGAGGAAATCCTGTGATCATTTCATATGCTACGATTCCAAATGAATAAATATCTGCTGCCGGTGTGTAAGCATGACCACACAAGACTTCGGGTGCAATGTATGGAAGAACTCCATAAATTTCTTGGCGAGTTTCGCTTTCTTGAGTTTTATCAAATAACTTGCTAAGACCTAAATCTGAGATACGAAGCTGTAAATAATGACTATATAAAAGATTTCCAGGATGAAAGTCTCTATGAACTAATTTCTTTTCGTGCATACGATATAAACCTTCCGAAATCATTTCCAATGAATTTAATTTTAATTTTAAATCCATCTTGTAAAAATTTTGGTCCAAGTAATTCCTGAGACTGCCATTTTTTTGAAAATTAAAAACCATCATGTAGCATAATGATTCTGGTTGTTGCGTAATCCCATAACATCGGACAAATTCAACTACCCACAGGATAGAATGTTTCTCAATCTAAAATTTAAAATAAATTACAGTGTATTAATAATGAAACTATAGTTAAACAAGGTTTAATATTCTTTACCTCATTTATAAGATCGTCAACTGAGCTAAGTTTATCTAAGCCCTTTAATGCTATAGTGCGTTCACCGAATCTAAGCCATTTCTTGTTGAGAACATCCCATTTATCAATACAACCAACTTCCCATGTCGCAGAATGCACAGTGCCATATCCTCCTTTAGCAATATATTTGACATCTTGAAATTGTGTATACGGTATCCATTCTAATATCTGTTCGTCATTCTCAGCTTGAAGCTGAGACTTTTGTATAAGTTCGTCAATTTTTTTATCTCCACTTGTCCATTTATGAAAGTGAATTCCATTACATGACATGCACCATTCATATCTCGTAAATTCTTTATTACATTCGGGACAATAATCAGACATATTTGATCTTTTTAACTCTAATTTTCCGCCGAATTCAATATTATATGCATTGCATAATGTTACACAGAAAAAAAATACTGTAGAACTCGAAGCTGATCATTTATTTGATACATTATTTTTTACTGTAGTAATTTATTCATTACAGTACGTATACAGTACTCGTAAATAAACTTGTGCAGTAGATAACGACAAATTGTTTATATACAATCTAATTTGTGCACAACAAGTTTTTAAATATTCTGTATAGGAATTTATTAAATAAATTGCAAATAAGTAAATATTTAATATGTTTTGAGAATTTTGATTTTTGAATTAATGAAGTCATTTGAAAAACTTATAAATGTGAAATCATTCTTTTATAATTTAAAATTTTTTTCAAGAAAATAATTATTTATTTGAAAAATGTAATACATCAAATTTTCATTAAATAGGAAAAACACTAGAAATACTGTTCGAATAATAATAACATTATTATTATTAAATTGAAATTTCGTTGCTTTATATTAATGATATAAACTTTTTTATCTTTTGTAATTTTACTGTTGTTTACGAATATTTCATTATATGCGAAAAAGTTTCTAACCTTTGAAACCCTATCAAGTAATTTAATGTTTAAAAGTATTACAGTAAATTGTATCAAGCTTTAGATTAATCATTAAATTTATTTAATGAGTTGTACTTATGCCCAAATTTTTCAAATTCTAGTCTATGAATGCATATTCTTGAATATATTCATTTAAATATATTGACTTTTACGTAGAAATATAAAAAATCAATTACCGAAAAATTAATAAAGCCCCAATTAACCATGAATAAAAAATAATAAGCATCGTGAGCATGGCACCATAAAATTTTCTGCCAACTGATGAACTTTTGATAAAAAAATTCACCAAAACTTGGCCTCAAATATTATTGGGATATTATTTTTCTGCAATTAGAATCCTTACAAAAAATTACCACAATACAATTCTTAAAATGCAATTTTCACTTCCTAATATGATAAACGAGATGAAATACCGTATATATGACCATTTTATTGTAATTATTGTAATAAAAATTATTAGATAGAATTTTAAAGCAGAAAATCATAATCCCGTTATTTTTAAGTCAGATATTCCAAAAGAAACATCTTCAAGTTCTGAATTGTTTCGTCTATGGATCCTGAATTTATCAAAAATTGTCTATATTATATGAGTAGAGCAAGTCAGATTTGTAGGCTTAAAAATGCGCATCAAATATATACATTTTAAAATAATATTGATAGAATATTTATGATTGTAATTATCTAAAGCGCATAAACTTATTGACTAAATAAAGTCATAAAATTACCTTTGCGTAGTATTCTATATCAAAATTAAAAGGTCTTGAACCGAAATTAACTTCAACCTGCACTGATGGGTCTTCCACGCCGACCATTGGGTACTTATCTCCCATAAATATTTTAGTACTAGCTATTCCTATTAAATCAATGGATATTTAAACAATGATGGAGAAAAAAATTCACATATTGGAATAATATATTCACATAACCTAAATTAATTCCGTTCTTTGTATAAAATACAATGTCATCGTAATAATTCAAACAACATCCAATAGTATCGCCCGAACAATACAAAATTTCATATATAACATCATTATAATCTCCCTCGACAAATAACAATCCATCATCACCGTGATACCCGATTGATGAATAGCTCCAGCCTATAAATATCGAATAGGAGTGCAAACTGAACTTTACCATAGGATTTTTTAGGTGCTCATAAATGCATATTTGAAATAATTTTATGCATAATGTACAAAGTAAATTTCAAGCTTATTATAATATATAAGACGAAACCTGGTTGCTCATTCAAGCCCACTTCCTTTCCTGCAAGTCCAATCCCTATTACACTATTAATAAATATCATAGGACTTATTAAAAGTTTCATTCTGAAAATTCTTCTCCGAGATATACCTCCTTGGGCCACTATTTATGACATCAACCTCGAAGTAGTAAATCCCAGCCTCTTCAGGAATGGGACGCTCTGACCTTATGGCTGCGGTCAATCCAGATTCTTGAATTTATTAAACCAAGAAATTCAGAACATTTTTCGACCATAAATAATAACAGTGAATCAACAATACCTATATATTCAATCCCCATTTGATTTTCCGTCACCTTTATACCCTTCCCATGATCAGTTAAACTCCATTTGCTAGGCAACAGTATAGGCCTTTCAGCCGCTTTGTTATAAATATCTAGAGGACTATTTTGTAAATACTTGGGGATAAAAGGTTTTTCGATCGGTATCGCATTACTAGTATCATTCATGACTTAATTGATGATCTTTTTTTTTAAAGCAAAGTGACAGCTACGATGCATGACCTGTGACCAGTTTTATTTACAAATATTGTGTTACTATTGTCACATGTTATTATTTAATTTCTAAAGTTTGGGTTGTGTGCAAAAATATGCAATACAGCACTCTTAATTTTTAGCTTTATTAATATATTAACATTTAATTTATTTCATAAACACGATAAAAAATTAATCTGAAAGATATAACTATACGGAGAGCGTGCACAGTTAAACACCTCTCTTATATGGTGCCAGTCGTTTGATTCTTTTAAACTATTCGAGGATAGACTAGTGGAAAAAACAATTGCATCAAAGAATTCAACTTAAAATATTGGATGTGAAGAGATTATTGAGTGATTACATTTAACAGGCTATCTAATTTTTAAAAGATCGAATAATTAAGATTACTGTAGCACTAATATTTTTAGATGGAATACTAAAATAAAAGATAGTTGGAGGTCACTTGGTATCCCGTATATTTTCATATTACCATTCTTTAATTAATGTAATTTTTAACTATTTAAATATTACTACTAAAATCCGGACAGACTAAATTATTTAACTTACATTTCTTATAAAATTTAATGTAGCACTTGTAGACATTTAAGCGTTTTTATTTCAATTAGATAAGGAAATATAACAATATATGCCAATCAGTCAATATGGTTGTATTCAATAATTTTGATTATATAAAGTGTGTAAAGTATAAATTATGTACACAATGTAAGCATTATATTATTTCATTAAGTAAACTATGGCAAATTCTATTATCAGAATGCAACACCGTCAATACTTGCCATGTTTTAATTATAAATTAGAAAAAAAAGAAGAGCAAATAATAAAATTAAATTAAAAAGATAAATAATCAACAGAAAACATAAAAATAAAAGGTGACCAATTATTAAATTTTATTTATATTGTTAGTAGAAAAAATGCATAGTTAAGGTCATGTAACATGACTTTTGTGTTACGTGAATAATCGGCATATTGGCAATTATCTAGTAGATAGTATAGTAACATAGTCAAAAAGTCTAAATAGTTTATTTTTTATATAGCACAATAGTTTATAAGTCATAGCAAGATAGTTATATAGCATATTAGAATAGCAATAGATATATAAATAGAAGTGAGAAAGTGCAAAATGAGAAAGGAAATTGAAGGCAAAAATCTAAATCTCAATCTTAATTAAAAATTGTTATATGTGGTGGTAATAGACATACTCAAAATAAGAAGTGATTAATTAACTTATCTTTTTAGAATAATGTTATCATGAAAAGATTGTTCTGGAAGTCACCAAAGAAGATAGTGACTTACATCATCCAAGAAAGGTAACAAGAAAAAAAAGAGGATTAATTATAATTTCAAGGTTAGCTAAATCAAATTCATGTCTCAAATAGAAAAAAGAAGAATAATTTATCCTAATATTATACAAATTTGACTTGTCACAAGTGACAAACTTGTTAAATTCATGTCAACAATATATTCAAAAAAGAAAAAATATTTTTTTTTTTACTGTTAAGGTGAGACATGTCTCATGATCTTTATTAATACGTAATTATTATTACATGGTTAATTTT